TTCTCCCTCCAGCTTCCTGGGTTTGTCTGGGCTCTGCTCCCTACATTCTCCTGTGAAAGGCTTTCCTACCCATCCATCAAGCCAGGGGAATGCCCGAGTGCCAGCTGCTCCCAACCACCCCAGTGACTTCCATCTTGGACATGTTTGGTCCTGAGTTCTGGCCCCCGCCCAGGCATACTGGGACCATGGCCTTCTTGGGTGGTGGGGTGGCGTCCATGCTTTCTATTATTTTGTGGTTCTTAGCCCAGTAAGGAGCCCCCACTATCTGTCAAGCATCACCTCCATCACTCAAATCTCTCCTGCTTTTATCAAACACACCACATGCCAGGTTTCTACTTCCTTGCCCTCCCGTTCTCTCTGCCTGAAATACCTTTAACCTTTCCCACTTGGCAACATCCCTCCTGTGCCTTGTGATCAGCCTTGGGTCACCTCTACTGTGCTACCTTCTCCAAATCCAGCTTCCCAAGAACCCAGTGGCACAGGCCTCTGCTCACTCCCCAAGTTTCAGATTAGCTCTGAAATATCCTGTCTGTCTCTCTCAGGACACTGACCTCCTTGAGGTCTGAATCCCTGTTTGCATATTTGTTTATCATCCTTCAGCTTACAAGTGCCTGGGCCCTGGAGGGACTTATATTATTTACTACGTGGTTCTCAAGCAACATTATCAATATTACAAAGTATGAAGGTTGTGTTATTTTTTTGAAAGTGGTAGTTCTGGCAACATTGCCAGATAAAGTACAGGATGTGCAGTATAATCTGAATTTCAAATAAATAATGAATAATTATTTAGCATAAGTATGTCCCAAATAATGCATATTTATCTGGAATTCAAATTTAACTGTGTCTTGTATTTTCAGTTGGTAAATCTGGCAACCCTAAGCCCCAGGATGGCCTGAGGCAGGCCTGAAGAAGCTGGCGGCAGAGTTCTGCCACATGTTCATGGTAGATGCTCTAGTCCCATTTCCTGTCATAGCTTGAAAAAGGCCTTGGGCTTGGGCTCACTGCCTGCCTGCAGGTTTGCATCTGGGCCAGCAAGTATGGGGAGAGAACACCTTGCAGTTTGGAGAATGGGGCAGAGGAATGATGAGTTTGTGACAAAGTTTGGGCTGTGGTCTCCCAGCAGAGTCCCAAAAGAGTGAGTCTCACCAGCCCCTGCCCATTGGCTTACTGGGGGACACACCGAGCCTCCTGAGTCCATCACATCAGCCAGTTCCCATGCTATGCCAGGGGACCAGCTCCACCGGGGTCTGGCCTAACCCCACGGGCAAGGGCTCTGGTAAAGGGACCACAGGGCCCCAGTTTCTGGGCATTACCCGAGGCCAGGAGGCCCCAAGGGCAGCAGACCCAGCAGCACCCCTCCTCAGGTGTCCTGCACAAAGGCTCATTTCATTTCCTCACCAAAGGCACCCATTTCCTAGAGAAGGCTCAGGGCCATCAGTGAGTGAAAGACAGAACCAGGCTGGAACCCAATCTCTGAGCGCAGGAGTCAGGCTTGCAACCCTTCCACCACACGACCTTCTTAATAAGCCTCATCTTCTCTCCTTCAGCCAAGGGTGGGCTCACAAGCCACCACCTGCCTCCACCAGGACGCTCAGTCTGCGGCCCCCTTTCTTGCAGCTGCAGTGACCCGCAGCTGGCCTTCATCTCTGAGGGGAAGGAGAAAACTGAGTCATGCAAAACAAGACTGTTCCCCAACACACCTCTTTCTCCAAGGAAAAAGCAGGCACAATTTGCAATCAGGATATGAGTGTCCTGGATGACAAGTACAACGAGTGATTAGTTCCCTGAGTCCTCTTCGGCAGTGTGATAGCCGTGCCGTGTGCTGCCTGCTGTGCACCTCGGGGTGGGTGACCACTGATGTGAGAAACGCCCGGAGGAGTCGGGTGCAGGGCACACCTCTCACCTGGATGACCTGTCTGGTGCCCCTGTGACCTCAGGGTGCTGACCAGAGAACTCAGGCCTGCAGTTCTTTCCAAACCTGCTCGGCAGCATGCGCCCCGCGAGGAGGACCTGGACCCACGGAGCGGGAGCATTTGAACTAGCAAAGCATCTGCTCGGGCCCTCCCCTGATGTATTCTAAACTCATCTCTTTCTGCTTCTTGGGCTCACTTACTGGAAAGCCGCATCCAGAGACCTCCCTCTGCGGCAGGAGCAGGGAAGAGTGTCCGAGGCTGGCACCCACCTCGGGAGGACAGGCTCCCCAAGGGGTTGGAGCAACCCGTCACTTCAGGACGAGACAGTGTGGCAGGATGTGGGAACCTGGCTGGGGCCGCCACAGCCTGGCACTGCTTCTTTTTTTAAAATGAACATTCACTGGTTTTGTTTTTTTATAATTTTTACTAAAAACAGGAATATGTGCTCACTGCAGAATATTCAGAAAACAGAAAAAAGCACAGACAAGGGAAAAAAAAGTAACAGCTTATCAGCTATATTTCTGTGCTTAGAGACACATATTTTCATCCTTCATTTGTATTCAGGTGGGAATCAGCCTGAGCATGCTGTGTGCAACCAGCTTTTACTATTTACTATTCCCATGACAGAAGGTGGAATACATTTTTACCATCTTGATGATATTCTAGCATGTGGATATAGTACACATTTTATTTATCTTGTCTCCACTGATGGGCCTTTAAGTGGTTATCAACTTTTTACTATCATAAATGATACTATGTTTGCACACTTCTAGTATAGCTCATAGTCACTGAGGCCTTATTATATGTTAGGCCCACTTAATCCTCACATCAGCCCTATGAAATTGGAACTGTTATTATTTCCATTTTACAGGTGAGATGCAGAGAGGGTAATCTGTCTGAGGTCACACTGTGGCAGAGCAGGGATTTGAACCCAGGTTGTCCGGTGTACTTTCTCTGCTGATCGGAGACATGGAATGACACAGATTCAAAATTTGAACTCAAGTGACATTTAAGTAATCTGAAGATATAACAGCCTCACACTGTCTGATCTTGAGTTAATGGCAGGGGCCCAAAGCATAAAACAAGCATGCTGGGACATGTATCTCCTGCTGAGGATGACGCCTCAGGTGAGGTGAAGGGCCCGGCCCCTTGCACCCACGGGTCAGAAGGATTAAGATGGCATAGTGTGGCTGATAATGTCCACCGTTTTTCAATCACAAGAAAACAACAGCCATTAAAAGACATCTCCCCAAGGAGACTTAATATCTACTTAATGCACTACCTCTGTGAGAGACAGGGCTCACAACAAGAACCCACCTGTTGAGTAGGTAGGAAGGCTCAGCCTCACTCACAGGCCCAGCTAAGCAGCAGCATGGCGTTCAGCCTGGGGCTGGCACCCCATAAAAGCCTCTTTAATGAAGGAGCATGGAAAACATGTAGTATGGCAGCAGTCAGTGGGAAAGAGGCAGAGATTGGATTACAATTATTATTAAGATTATTTTTCATAGCTTCTACCATTAACTGAGTGCCTTTTATAAAGAAGTGCATCAGGTTCAGTACTGTGTAGTACAAGTTAATCTTCACAATTGCCCTATACTTGTAGGTGAGTACTATTACCACCCCCAATTTACAGATCCCTCCAACACCCGNAGGTGCGTACTATTACCACCCCCAATTTACAGAGCCCTCCAACACCCGTAGCTCATTTGCAAGGTCACCCCGCTCAGGAGTGCTTGAAGAAGACTCAAAGGTCTTTTCTGCATGAAGGTGAGGGCAGGTCCTTTAAAAATGTGCTAGTAGCTGGTGTTTATCCCTTCAGCAATAGGGTTGGGATACAGATTGAGTGTATACATTTTCAAAAAAGCACGTAATAGTCTTAGAAGGAAGACACTGCACTCATTTTACAGATGCAGAAACTAGCTGGAGGTTGAGTGCATCACCCAAGGCTACACAGAACTTGAACCCAGATATGTTTATCTCTAATGTCCAAGTTCTATCCACTCAAGTTTGCTGCCCTGCCCTGCTCTGCTTGTTTCTGCAAAAGGGAGTGCCAGGGATGGCTGCAGGGCGGCAACTGGGGGCTGGAAAACAGAACGTAGCTGATTCAGGCAGCAGATTCACGGTCCATTCCAGACCACCAAGGTCACCCGCCAGAGGCCTCCTATAGACTGCAATGAGAATGCTGGGAGCACCTAATAAGGGCATGATCTACACTGCAAAACTCAGGGGCTCAGAAGAGTCTGACAAACAGAGGAGAGCAGTTTCCAGGCTCATGGCACAGGGTCTGCCAACCCATCACGACAGGGGCACAATCAACTGAGAGCTTCTCTGAAGTGGGAATGACTAAGGGCTGGTGGCAATTTGTGCTTCAACACTCCAGGCTGAGGGACCAGGGAGATGAGGGAAGGGCCAGGATGGAGAAACTGGGGTCCAGAAACAACTGACCCACCTGAGGTCACTTGGCTCAGAGGTAGGATCACAGAGCTGCTGCTTCTCCCAGACACACAGGCATCTGGTTCAGTCCCCATACTGCCAACTCCTTGCTGTGCGACCTCAGCCATGTGCCTCCACCTCTTTGAGCCTCCAGTCTCAGGAGAAAATGGGAACACTAACGCAACTATCTGAAGGATTAGGATCCTGAATGTAGAAATAAACCATACAACTTAACAGATGACAACCCAATGTACTGAAAAAGATACAGAGGATAAAACACACAACTCACAGAAGAGGAAACTCAAAGGCCAATAAAGGTGTGAAAAGATGCTCAATCGCACTAGAAAGCAGGGAGATGCAAACACACACACACACACAAACCACAAGATAATACTCTGCACCCACCAGGCTGGCAAAAACAAAAAAGTCTGACAATTTGGAGTGTTTGCAAGGCTACACAGCAACAGGGCCCACAGACACTGCTCCTGGGGATGTAAACATAAAGGTAAACATGCACAGACATCATGACTAGCAATCCCACCTTAGGTATATTGCAAGGAAGCAGCTACACGAAAATGAATATCCTAAAAGTCCCAACAGGAGCTCGAATAAATAGGGGCATAGTCACAAGTGGAATACAAAACAGCTGTTAAAATGAACTGGAGCTCTTTCAGCTTGCACCTAATTAGAGGCGACACGGGGAAACGCACCAAGAAGGTCGGAACCATCGGTAAATTCGGGACCTGTTATGGTGCCTCCCTCAGGAAAATGGTGAAGAAAATCGAAATAAGCCAACACGCCAAGTACACTTGCTCCTTTTGTGGCAAAACCAAAATGAAGAGACGAGCTGTGAGGATCTGGCACTGTGGTTCCTGCATGAAAACAGTAGCTGGCGGGACCTGGACCTACAACACCACTTCTGCTGTCACAGTAAAGTCGGCTATCAGAAGACTGAAGGAATTGAAAGACCAGTAGAAGCACCACCTTTTGAAGCATTGCTAGACAACAATAAATGGGTTAATTTATGTAATAAAAAAAAAAAGGAACTGGACATGTTTCAACACAGATCTCAAAGGGGCAATATTTTTATAGCATTTTAAAATATTCACTACAAGATTTTGGGGAGTGTTAAAAAGGTAAAAACATTAAAAGGTGTTTGGGGCTGGAGTGGGAGTGGGCTTGATTATGAACAGGTGCAAAGGGTCCTTTTGGGGGTGATGGACATGTTAAAAATGTTATAGATTGTGATGGGTGCACAGCTTTGGAAATTTATGAAAATAATCAGCAAACTGTATGCTTACAATGGATGAATTTTATGGTATGTAAATTATACCTCAATAAAACTCTTAAAGACAACTCCTACCTAATAGATCTATAGTCTATTTTTTTTTTAAAGTGCTGGGAATACCAAATGCAGGATATTGGTTTTAGTCTTGTAGGGGGGAGTGTTGGGGAGGATCACAGGGGCTGTGTCTTTGATGCTTAGTTTCTTAATAAAAATGATCTAAAACAAGTATGGTGAAATGTAAAGACATGATAGAGCTGGATACGATACGTATTTATTTTATTCTCTGTATCTGTTTATTTGAAATAGTGTATAAATATAATGAAAAGTACCTATTTTAAAGGTTGTTGTGATGACTAAAAACACAAGAGAGCTTAATCCAGGCCCTGGCCCAGAAGAACTGATCAAATTGCAGCTATTAACAATCATTGCTGCTGAAACTACTATTCCCACATTGCTCCTCTTAACATCTAACGATCTCAAGATGGAGCAAGCCAGCATCTTCTGGCCCCTGCTGTTGGAGACATTTTCCTAAACCCAGGGCTTCCATAAATCCTTCTCCAGTGCAGGAAATGGGACGATCCAAATAAAATCCACAAAACCTCCAGGAAGCACCTCCTCTTCTCCTCAGGTCAGATGATAACCTAGCCAGAGAGGGTATGCTCTGGTGTCAGACTTCAAAGCCCCCTTTCCATTCACTCAGAAAGTCCTGGGCTCTAGGGCAGGAAAGGTGCTGGTACAGGGAGACAGCAGCCCCCAAAGTCTTCATCTCCCTGCTCCTGACAGGGGGTGCTGGCTCCTTGGAGCCCCTCCAAATAATTAATATTGTTGATATTATCGTCAAAAATGATCCCTCTGCTCATAGGTGAAGGAGGGAAGGGCCTTCCTCTCATTATGGAGAAGATGCCATTTCAGGGGGAACAGGTGGCCCAGCCCTGATGGGCAGCCTGGAGCTCCAGATGCATTCTCCAGTGACATGTACAGCACCTGTGACCTGTTCCCTTCAAAGAAATTGAGTGAGGAGCAGGTGGTGGCCAAGGGAATTGCAAATGGGGAGTGGGGTGAAGGGGAATTAAGGGTCCTGGTAACCAGAAATCTCTATAGCCCACTTACATATTCTAATGCAATGGTTGGGTAGCCGGTGGTGGGGTGGGGTAGGCGGGTAGTGATGTGTGCAGTTTTGCACCCCAGGGGGACATCTGTGGAGAAATTTTTGGTTGTCACAACTGAGGAAGTGGGTGCTACTGGCATCTTGTGCATAGAAGGCAGAGTTGCTCCTAAATATCTACAAGGCACCGACAACAAAGAATGTTCTGGCCCCAAATGTCAACAGTGTTGAGGTTGAGAAAGTCTGCCCTAGAAAGAAGAAGCAGTGTTTACAACTTGCAGATTATAGAAGCTGGAGCTCAGAGAGGTATCTGCCCAAGGTCACACAGCAGGAAGCAGCAGAGCCCAGGACTGTTCAACTCCTTGCTCATGCTACCTCTCTTCAAAATTTGAACTCAAGTGACATTTAAGTAATCTGAAGATATAACAGCCTCACACTGTCTGATCTTGAGTTAATGGCAGGGGCCCAAAGCATAAGACAAGCATGCTGGGACATGTATCTCCTGCTGAGGATGACGCCTCAGGTGAGGTGAAGGGCCCAGCCCCTTGCACCCACGGGTCAGAAGGATTAAGATGGCATAGTGTGGCTGATAATGTCCACCGTTTTTCAATCACAAGAAAACAACAGCCATTAAAAGACATCTCCCCAAGGAGACTTAATATCTACTTAATGCACTACCTCTGTGAGAGACAGGGCTCACAACAAGAACCCACCTGTTGAGTAGGTAGGAAGGCTCAGCCTCACTCACAGGCCCAGCTAAGCAGCAGCATGGCGTTCAGCCTGGGGCTGGCACCCCATAAAAGCCTCTTTAATGAAGGAGCATGGAAAACATGTAGTATGGCAGCAGTCAGTGGGAAAGAGGCAGAGATTGGGTTACAATTATTATTAAGATTATTTTTCATAGCTTCTACCATTAACTGAGTGCCTTTTATAAAGAAGTGCATCAGGTTCAGTACTGTGTAGTACAAGTTAATCTTCACAATTGCCCTATACTTGTAGGTGCGTACTATTACCACCCCCAATTTACAGATCCCTCCAACACCCGTAGCTCATTTGCAAGGTCACCCCGCTCAGGAGTGCTTGAAGAAGACTCAAAGGTCTTTTCTGCATGAAGGTGAGGGCAGGTCCTTTAAAAATGTGCTAGTAGCTGGTGTTTATCCCTTCAGCAATAGGGTTGGGATACAGATTGAGTGTATACATTTTCAAAAAAGCACGTAATAGTCTTAGAAGGAAGACACTGCACTCATTTTACAGATGCAGAAACTAGCTGGAGGTTGAGTGCATCACCCAAGGCTACACAGAACTTGAACCCAGATATGTTTATCTCTAATGTCCAAGTTCTATCCACTCAAGTTTGCTGCCCTGCCCTGCTCTGCTTGTTTCTGCAAAAGGGAGTGCCAGGGATGGCTGCAGGGCGGCAACTGGGGGCTGGAAAACAGAACGTAGCTGATTCAGGCAGCAGATTCACGGTCCATTCCAGACCACCAAGGTCACCCGCCAGAGGCCTCCTATAGACTGCAATGAGAATGCTGGGAGCACCTAATAAGGGCATGATCTACACTGCAAAACTCAGGGGCTCAGAAGAGTCTGACAAACAGAGGAGAGCAGTTTCCAGGCTCATGGCACAGGGTCTGCCAACCCATCACGGCAGGGGCACAATCAACTGAGAGCTTCTCTGAAGTGGGAATGACTAAGGGCTGGTGGCAATTTGTGCTTCAACACTCCAGGCTGAGGGACCAGGGAGATGAGGGAAGGGCCAGGATGGAGAAACTGGGGTCCAGAAACAACTGACCCACCTGAGGTCACTTGGCTCAGAGGTAGGATCACAGAGCTGCTGCTTCTCCCAGACACACAGGCATCTGGTTCAGTCCCCATACTGCCAACTCCTTGCTGTGCGACCTCAGCCATGTGCCTCCACCTCTTTGAGCCTCCAGTCTCAGGAGAAAATGGGAACACTAACGCAACTATCTGAAGGATTAGGATCCTGAATGTAGAAATAAACCATACAACTTAACAGATGACAACCCAATGTACTGAAAAAGATACAGAGGATAAAACACACAACTCACAGAAGAGGAAACTCAAAGGCCAATAAAGGTGTGAAAAGATGCTCAATCGCACTAGAAAGCAGGGAGATGCAAACACACACACACACACAAACCACAAGATAATACTCTGCACCCACCAGGCTGGCAAAAACAAAAAAGTCTGACAATTTGGAGTGTTTGCAAGGCTACACAGCAACAGGGCCCACAGACACTGCTCCTGGGGATGTAAACATAAAGGTAAACATGCACAGACATCATGACTAGCAATCCCACCTTACGTATATTGCAAGGAAGCAGCTACACGAAAATGAATATCCTAAAAGTCCCAACAGGAGCTCGAATAAATAGGGGCATAGTCACAAGTGGAATACAAAACAGCTGTTAAAATGAACTGGAGCTCTTTCAGCTTGCACCTAATTAGAGGCGACACGGGGAAACGCACCAAGAAGGTCGGAACCATCGGTAAATTCGGGACCTGTTATGGTGCCTCCCTCAGGAAAATGGTGAAGAAAATTGAAATAAGCCAACACGCCAAGTACACTTGCTCCTTTTGTGGCAAAACCAAAATGAAGAGACGAGCTGTGAGGATCTGGCACTGTGGTTCCTGCATGAAAACAGTAGCTGGCGGGACCTGGACCTACAACACCACTTCTGCTGTCACAGTAAAGTCGGCTATCAGAAGACTGAAGGAATTGAAAGACCAGTAGAAGCACCACCTTTTGAAGCATTGCTAGACAACAATAAATGGGTTAATTTATGTAATAAAAAAAAAAAGGAACTGGACATGTTTCAACACAGATCTCAAAGGGGCAATATTTTTATAGCATTTTAAAATATTCACTACAAGATTTTGGGGAGTGTTAAAAAGGTAAAAACATTAAAAGGTGTTTGGGGCTGGAGTGGGAGTGGGCTTGATTATGAACAGGTGCAAAGGGTCCTTTTGGGGGTGATGGACATGTTAAAAATGTTATAGATTGTGATGGGTGCACAGCTTTGGAAATTTATGAAAATAATCAGCAAACTGTATGCTTACAATGGATGAATTTTATGGTATGTAAATTATACCTCAATAAAACTCTTAAAGACAACTCCTACCTAATAGATCTATAGTCTATTTTTTTTTTAAAGTGCTGGGAATACCAAATGCAGGATATTGGTTTTAGTCTTGTAGGGGGGAGTGTTGGGGAGGATCACAGGGGCTGTGTCTTTGATGCTTAGTTTCTTAATAAAAATGATCTAAAACAAGTATGGTGAAATGTAAAGACATGATAGAGCTGGATACGATACGTATTTATTTTATTCTCTGTATCTGTTTATTTGAAATAGTGTATAAATATAATGAAAAGTACCTATTTTAAAGGTTGTTGTGATGACTAAAAACACAAGAGAGCTTAATCCAGGCCCTGGCCCAGAAGAACTGATCAAATTGCAGCTATTAACAATCATTGCTGCTGAAACTACTATTCCCACATTGCTCCTCTTAACATCTAACGATCTCAAGATGGAGCAAGCCAGCATCTTCTGGCCCCTGCTGTTGGAGACATTTTCCTAAACCCAGGGCTTCCATAAATCCTTCTCCAGTGCAGGAA